TAATGCTTAAAGTTGCTAGGAAACAGAATTACATAGCAAGGACAAGAGGCCATTGTACATCCATGGGGAAATGTTGGCTGTTTTCCACCATAAATCAGAAGTTCTGATTTATAGTGGAAATATCAGCTGAGAAGATAAAATCCCTGTAAAATAACTGCACTCTGAAATCAAGGCTCGGTCCCACAGCCACTATTTCTGCAGCGATTCTCAGCAGTGCACGACTGCAGTTCATGTTTCAGCACCAGTGGCTTTAGGCACTTAGCAGGGAACTATAACCAGCTCTGGAGAGAGGCCCAGCCTGGATTTGACATCACCTAGGATGCAGCATAAAATAGAAGCCAAATCTGGACCATTCCTGTAAAACAAAGGTTTGTAGATTGAGTTTAGAAGAAAACCACAACCAGCTTGAGCTCTGAGGCCAGTGACTGGGAGCAGGCACCTGGGGCTGTGGGCTGAGAGGAGAGCCGCTCTCAGTTCTTGCATCCAAATTCTAGTGAACATGGTGTAGTAAAAACTACTCTTTTCCTCTTTTCTCCAGTAGTCAAGGATAGTTTAATTAAAACACTAAAGAAGCTGCTCTCATCTGTACCTCTGTAGCTTCACTGGTTCATGCATAAACCAAAGCAATAACAACACAGAAGAGCACTTGGTACCCATGGTGGTTGTGCAGGGCATCAAAAAGATGAGCAGAGGCTGGAGCTGACTCTGGCACTCTGCCTTCCTCCCTTCGGAGACATTCCTCTTTCGAGGTGTGGCTCAGAATGGTTTCTCCTTGTTCCTTTGTGTAGCTCTAACAATGTATACACATATATATCTCCTGAGCCAAAGTCAATAGGAACCTTCATTTTGACTTCAGTCTGGTTTGCCCTTCAACCGCGTTGCAGGGAGTGTATTTGGTCCCAAAATATTGACAGTCCTAAAGCATAACAAGCTCAGAGGGTACGTAAATGTATTTTAAATTAAGTAGAAAAGAAAGGAAAAAAACAAGACAAAAAAACCCCAGTAGGTTTATGTGTACTTGTTCATAGGAAAAAGGCTATAATTGAAGCAAACGCATTTCTCCTGAAAAATAATTAAAGAAATCAGAAGTTTCACTAAGTGTTGAATTATCTGATAGACTGATAGTGATTAACCAGCTAAGATTATGCCTGGATTGTAGTCAGAGCTGTGACTCCAGTAGGAATGAACATAAGAAAGCCATTTTAATCCGACTAACTTGGCCGTTGGCGGTGCTGCACTGGCGGCAACACAAGATACTCGAGAAACACGTTCAGATGAATGCTGTGCTGGCTGGTTCACATTGTCTGTCTCACTGCAGCTACAGCCTTGGCCGTGCTCAAACTGGCCAAGGAAATGTAGCTCAGTGACCTCTGTGAGCTGCAGTTGGCTGGCAGAGCTGTCCAGGGCAGGTCAAATACTTTCACAGCCTCAGGCAAGAATTTTCCCCAGAGGATTTGCTATACATAACTGCGGACAGACAGGGCCTAATTTTCAGGATTTATGTGCACGATGTCTTTACATGCTGCTTCTTTTTTCTCTTTTTTCTCTCTTTTTTTTTTTTATGAAACCCAAACAAAACCACAAAACCCACCCAAGCTGCTGTAATTTATTCATATAATTTTCTCTTTCCCACTTTTTTCTGCTGCTAACTCCATGTTACTAGCTACAGAAACCTAATGAATGATGCGGATGTGATTGCATCCAGTTTCCTCAACAAACAAGAAAAGTTTGTTAGTTTGCACCATTGCTGGTGAGCAGCTGTGACCCATAATTGGGTTTGAGTAAGACTGGTTGGTGCAGACCAGCGACTGGGGCAGGTGCCTTCGTGGAAGAAGGTGGGGAATTGTCAAAGTCTATCACCATTGGCTGTGTCCCAATTTGAATTAGGCAGTAAATGCGTTAGTAATAGGAAAGAAAGACTCACTTGGGTTTTTTTTTTTAGTACCACCTTGCAGGAGCTATGGGGAATACACTGAGTGTCCCAGAGGAAGCTGAAGAAGACAATACATGCACAGTGAAGAGTTATCAGGTAAGGAAGAGCTGCCCGCTCTTATCTTCCCTGGCTATTGCCTATTGCAATTTTCAGCTCCTATGATGTACCCAGTCCTCAGAACTATGTTATTTGCTATTTCAGGCTCTGTCTGACTCTCCTGGCAATATTAAAAATGGATCTGTTGCATTTGTTCAGACTCATTCTCTCGCAATGAACGGTGAAGGTATGTAATGAGCAAGGCTGGCATAGTTGCACTTCTTTGGCTGCCAGACAGGTGGAGAGGGGTTTATACTGGAGCAACAACAAATATTGGTGCGTGGTCTCAGATTAAAAGATGAACTTGTGTTTTAGCTCTTACTTATGAATTGGTACATGTGGTTTTTCAGAAGTTTGGAAGTTTAAATATAACAAAGAGTAAAATAGGAAAATATTTCGCAAGTCCTCTGGAAGCTGTTTCTTTAATTGTTTAAGAATTTCACCTACAAAAATTGATTTTATAGCCTGAAGATTTTGGTTGGTGTGAAGTATTATAGGGCAGGAGTGGTTTGACACTGGTCCCTTCCAGGTTGCTGCACACACCTCAGGGTGTGATAAAGTACCTCTGCTTGGGTTCTGGTGGAAATGGGGCCTCTAATGAGCTGTGGAGGATTCATGTCAGAAGAAATATATTACTGTAAGTGATGTAAAGCCCAGAGTAATACTGTGTTAAGGTGACAAAGGTAAAAAGAAGAGAGGAGAAAACTCTTGGAGAGGGGGACTTCTTTCGGTGATTGCACTAAAAGACCTTCCTTTGAAACTTTCTGCATGCACTCAGCTTTCTGGGGGTACTTTGCTCAGTTTAATGTTAATTAAAGAAAAATTTGCAAAATCCTTTGCAGGCTGGTTACAAAAAAAATGAAATCAAATTAAAAAGAAAATGAAATCCAGGTCCTAGCTGTGTGTTCTCATCCATAAGATTGTAAAGTCTTAGAAACTATCTCTGCATTTATTTATTTTTTTTTTTGTGAAACCATATTTCTGATCCTTTCAGTGGCAATTTCAACAAACAATATAATAGCAATGTGAGCACCTTTCTATTCATCTAAACATTTCCATCTTGTTCTCTGCTTTCTGGTCCTATGTTTTTGAGTAGGTGCATTCTTTTGACTTCAAAGATACCAAACAATTGCTAACAAAGAAATATGTATAGGGGTATTCTTTCTGTCCTGCAGTTACACTGTTATATAATAATTTCCTCTGGGCCTGAAACTGGGCCTTAATGATACCTTTCATGTATAGAAATCTACCTTCCTCTCATTTTGGAGCTAGTAGATCTTCTTGAAGAAAGTGGAATTTGTCTCATCTGCAATGAGATCTTCATAAACAAAATTTAGCTGTGTGACCCACCTGTGTCTGAATTGTACAGAATTTAGAGTACAGCACAGTAATTTATAGAGCTAGATAAGTGACAGCTGGGAATGTGTTATGGCTGACAACACAAAGGTCAGTCCTATTTACTGGAATTTATTCAAACTGTCACAAGACTGTAACCCAGACCACCTCTCTCCTGTTACTGTTAGAGGCCGTATTAGGTAGTGCTCAACTACTGCCAAGGCAACAAGAACATGGTGGGGTGGGGGGCACACAAGACACACACACATGCGACTTGTTTCTCTTTGTGCACTAGTGGAATAAAATCAGTATGCCCCTATTATGTATAAACCGTGGATATTAGTGTAGAAGTTTCCTGGCTGGTGGGGGTATGGGTAAATCACTGCTCAGCGAGGGCACCCTGTTCCAGATGAGCCTGAGCAGTGTTCATCGTGGGACAGCCACCAACGGGCACTTTCAGCAGTCACACTGGTGCAGGCTGGACCCTGGGCTCCCCATGGAAGGTGCTGCTCAGCACCTCAGCCCCACTTCCAGAGCTGGCATCTTGAAAATCTGATGTGAATAGCATGGCCCGAGCATTAAAAATCTAGCCCAAGCAGTTTTGAAAAGTCATCTCCGTGTATTTGCAGGCAGTTGCTCTCATTCACAGACGTGTGTCTTTCTTCACCTTTCAGGACCTCATTAATTTCTCCTTCCACTTCTTGTTGGCTTCAGAGCCTGTCTGAGCAGCATTGTTTCAGTTCACATCTGTAGATTCAGCCATGTTAATTTTACTGGTGTTTTCCTTGCATTGGATTTCTGTCTGTTTTCAGAATACAATAAAACCCAACGCTTCAATCTCTGTAAGGAGAGAAAATATTATTTTATTATTCATTGTTAAGAGAACCCTCCCAGCCTGCTACATCCAGCTGAAATATTGAAACTTAGACAAAAAATAATCAAAGACTGGCATGGCAATTGCAGATGGTAATGATTACAGTTCAGAATCTCTGCTCCATGGCTAATTCCCTAATGCATCTAGCTATAAGAAGTCAGTTTAAGCGGCTGCCTACTAGAAAATAAAAGCCTGTAGCTGGGTATTTCTGCTGGTATAAACCAGCAGAGTTCTGCTGGGGATAAATAAAAGCCAGATTTACACTGTCTGAAGACCTAGAAAATAAGTGTACATTTTACTCCTAGTATCTAAATGAAGCATATGACACTGTTTTACATAAATAGATTACTTGATTAAGGTAATTACTAAATCAGTTTAAGCAACAAATTGAAAAATAGGACTGTCCTGTCATATTTTAATTTTATTAATATTCAAAAAGTAGTTAAAATCATTGATATTTAGAAACTGCAGAAATCTCACTGGTTTGCATAATACCATCAAGGTCTCAGTAAAATAAAAGTGCAAGCGCTGTCTGGAGATAGAAGTTATTCCTATAGAAAATACAGCTGATAGTATTTCTAAAATTAAATAATGCAAGAAAAGTACTGAAATCTATTTTATGGTCATAAAGTGAGTAATTCTGGAGAAGACTGGAGAGATGCAAGAAGTGCAAGTGAAGCAAGAGGGTTTCATTAATAGTGTTAGATGTATGTTTGTGGTCTTTGTCTTGTTAGTTTGCATTTCTGCGATTGCCAGCAGTCTAGCCATGTGCTGTGCATTAAATGGTATAGTTGATAAATGAGTCTATGAAATCTATATCTGCTAATATAATGAAAAAAGAATCCAGAGAGTTAACTTAATATGACCAGAGGAAGTAATGTTATTTGGAAGAGCCCCATCACCATCTGCTTCACATCTGGGTGAGCAGATTGGTGACTGGTTCCCTACATTTGCTGCTTCTGCTCAAACAGGCTGACAGAAGGGTGGATGCAGGGATTCTTTCCATGACTTGCCTTTCCTGCTCCCATTGATTCCCAGGGCTACAGATACTGCACACAGTGCTGGCATCCACCTTCTCCTCCTGTAATGCCATTTAAATAGTAGTAGTGCCCCTACTGCTACTGCATGACATGTTGCTTTGCAAGCAAAAGGACAACAAATTTATCTTGACTTTTTCTGATGTTTTGTGTTGGCCTTTTTGAACTTTGAGTGATATAAATTCTTGGGTGACAACAGGTAAAGGGAAGAAGGCCAGAACAAAAAGTCGTGGATCTCTGAGATTTGCACTACATAGAGCAGAAAAGTATCCGGAGAAAAAAAGGCAGGAAATTTTGTATTTGGGTGGCAATTATATGCAGAATAAAACAATGACCAGCTCATAAAAAGAAAGATTATAAAAGGAAAAAAAGTTCAGTTGAGAAGAAACTCCTTTGTTCAAAAATATAAATCTGATTCAGCGAAGTCTTCTAGCTGGTATCTAACAGAACTCGCTGCTGCTTCGATGCTTCCCTAACCCAGACTTCATTCCCTTGCAGCAGTCCACATGTTGCAAACAGCTTGGCAAGGTCATCATTTGACCATATAGTAAACCCAGCATCGGGGCTCCTAATACCAGCTGAAAAAACACCGCAGCTTTACAATACAGACAACTGGTCTGATTCAAACTCACTCTGCCAGACCAAATTCATTAAAAAAAAAAAATACTAACAGGTTACAGGCTAGTCAGGTCTCCTCTCTCCGCGGCACTTGATGCTGGACACAGATGCCATAAAATCCTGAAGTGGGTATACCTGTGCTGTGTCTGCTGGCTCCATCAGTTGATCCAGCTGAAGTTTGCACACTGAGGTGTCCCAATAATGCAGAGATTTGGTCTGAATTATGACAGAAGATGGTTGGACACTACTGAGAGGAGAGTTGCTTTAGGCTCAGTGCTAATACAACGCATTTGGACCAGACGGGAGTGTCTTGCGAACACATTGCAGCACACAAGTACTATAGGATTTGCCAACACCTTTGGGGACTGCCCTTTCCCTTACAAGGGCCATATCTGGCAGTCTAGAGTACCCTATTTCCGCAAACACTGCGGCTCAAAAATCATGAGTATTGCTGGCAGCGTCCATAGTTGCTATTACTGGGGGCTCCGGTCCAATTTTTGTTACCGTCTCCCCCTCTAGTGCAATCCAAACGCATGTGGAAGGGGATTAATTTCTTAATTTAAGAATAATTAGTGAGAAAAATTGCACTGTGCAGCTGTCTTAGGTCTTTACTAAAATGCCTCTACAAGCTGAGGATTTGTGATTCAAGTTGACCAGCTTTGTTCTCATATATTTGACACCAATAGCAATAGATATTTGGGGTCAATTAAATGTTTTCTTCTTTGGCTGTCACCATAAGTCGTTATAATGTATCTGGCAGCATTAGTCCATCTGAACAGGAGAACACAGCATCCATAATGTATGTGAACTTGCAAACCACAAACAAGTGGATAAATACCAAAAGGCCTCTCTTTGCTATCTGAATTCTTCATCTCCCCAGGTTATTTGCTCACCCATCTAAGGGCCTCACAGCAGCATTAGGTGCAAGGTTTGTCCTAGGATAATGATTTCAAATACAGTTTTTAATTGCTTCTTTGTGCCCCTAAGATGTCAGCTCTGTCAGCACAAAGTTATTAGGTGTGATTACACAGCAAAAGCAAATACCGTTGCTGCATGTGCTAGCGTGCCCACCCCCACTCCGCTAGTTGGCACAGGCAACAGAAGCAGCAAAGATGCAGGAGTGTGGACTTTGGTTTCTGCTAGAAAGCAGCACTTATAAGTGCAATTCCTCAGGAGCTTTTAGCCTGCTTGTTAGCAGGAGCTAATACCCATGTTAATGCTATTGTTACTGTGCCCTGGAGCCAGCATGGCTATGGCAGCAGGTGCTGCAATCACTCCTTCATTTGGTTGTATAGGCATACCTGCTGCTTCAGCTAATAACCT